CAGGGCCCCCCATGGAGCTCTGAAACAGAACGAGACCATGTGGCCGGGACCGGCCCCCTCCCCCCGCCAGGACCAGGGCCAGCTGCTCAGGGCTGACGCGTGCCTGTCACAGCGTCTCCTCCACCGAAGACGCTGCTCTGATCCACACCGGGCTCCAGTGGGGAGAGGAGAGCCAGACTTTAGTGTCGACGCCGATTCCGTCCGCTTGATTTCACCGACAACACGCACGCTCGCCCCCAGCACACGCCCTCTGGCGCTCACACCGTCACAGTACAGGCCTCCGCCTCCCAGCTCCTCCTGAGCGACAGGCGTGTCAGTGCACACGGCAGCAGCTCGGCCCATCCTATCGGCCCTCACCCGTGACTCCGTGTCAGAGACCCCCCCACCCCCCGGGTAGAGGCGTGATCCGTGAGGTGACAGCCTTCTCCAGAAATCCTTCCATGTTCCTGGTTTCCAAAGGCGCCCGTCACTGCTACGCATCTTCTACTCCCACAAAGACGCCCCTTCCTCTCACTCTGGGAGGTGAGAGGGGGAGGTCAGCTGGGACCCTCTGGGTGACGATGCTCCACGGGACCCAGCCAAGGCCCCGCAGGGCCACAGGAAGGGCGGCTCAGGACCCCGGACAGCTCCCGCCCAGCAATGCTCCCTGACCCGGAGGTGGCTCAGAAAACAGAGGGTGAAGAGATGCGCCCCAGACCTCGATGCAGAGCCCATGGGGCGGGGGTGGAGGGGTGGGGGCATCTGTAATCGTGCTGGCGAGAAAGAAAGAAGAGAAAACAACATTGTTCTTTTCTTTCCTTCCTCTCACCGTTCAGGTCACTCCGAGACACTCATCTGCAGGATGGGGTCGGACAGAGAATTTCCTCTCCTAACAGTGCCCCCTCGGGGTGACAGATCTCAAGGCCGGCCTGTGGTTTAAAGCATTGCGGCGAGAACCACTGGGGAAGCGAGCCACGGGTCTGTCTTTTGTCTTTTTTCTAATATATTTTTACTGATTGCAGAGAGGAAGGGCAAGGGAAAGAGAGAAACATCGATGATGAGAGGGAATCGTGGATCAGCTGCCTCCTGCACGCCCCACACTGGGGATCGAACTTGCAACCCTAGCATGTGCCCTGACTGGAACTGAACTGTGACCTCCTGGTTCATAGGTCGATGCTCAACCACTGGGCCACACCAGCCGGGCCAGCAGGTCTGTCTTTGTATCTCTGGGGGGCCCTCCCCGCACCCCCGTCCCCCACATCCAGGTACGACATGGAACAGCCCACACTAAGAACGACACACCGTCGATCTGAAACCCACGTGGCCACGCCTCCCGAAGCCCCCAGGACAGGTCGGGCCTGGCGCTGTTCTCGGTGCCCTGTCTGCTGAAACCCCGGCCACCGCTGACCCGGGACCGCCTGGCCCGTCCTGTGCCGTTCGCCCTCTTCTCAGAGCCCCGGGAGGGCGGGTGGACGGCACCGGGTTCCAGCCCTTGGGCAGGCCTTGCGAAGGCTGAGTGCACATGGCGGCCTGAGCCCACCTGCCGTGTCCCGTGTCGCTCCTGGTGCCACCGTCCGGGACCGGAAGACGCGCACGACAAAGGTTTCCACTCCCACAGTCCCCACCCAGCGTGGGGGCGGGGCCGTGGTCCTGCCAGCCTCGCACCTGCTGTGGGGCCAGCTCGGACACTCGGACACACACACACACACACACACACACACACACACACGTGTGCCAAGGCAGTCCCTGCCCATCAGGCCTGAGGGCCGAAGTGGGAGCCCAGGGGCTGCTAGAGCTTCCTGACTTGAGCGTGACCAGAGCCCTCGGCACTGCCGACAGGACGAACCTTGTTCAGACGCTGGAAGGGAGCTGGCAACTGCTCAGAGGCCAGGCCGTGCGTAGCCAGGCCGCGGGCTCCCCGGCGAGCGAAGCGCAGCACAGCAGACCGGAGGCCCTGCGTCTGTGGTGTTCCAGCCTCCGAAACGGAAATGGGCACGACCCCTTCTCCATCTGTGGGTGCGGCCGCCGGGATGCTGCACCCCCGATTCCACAGCTTTGCTGCAAACGCTGCACCGTCCCCCCCCCCGCATCGCCCTGCTAATTCAGAGGCCAGAAGCCCCGTGTGAGCACTTTAACGGCAGCGCCCCCTGCCCCCCGAGGCAGAAGGGCAGGCTCGGGCCAGCGTCCCCCATGTCCCCCTCACCCTGCACACCCAGCCTGAGCCCGGCACACACGTCCGAGAACTAGCCCGACGTGGGGAAGGCATGAGACCAAGGGCACGAGGCAACAGGACAGCAGTGCGGACAGGAGGAGCCCCCTCCAGGGCGTTTCCTGGACGCCCGCTCGTCCACACGCTCCCTCCCGTGGGAGGCGGCGGCCGCTCTCTCTCGGGGGCGCGTCTCCCTGGCTCAGTCCAAGTCATGGGTCCTAAACAATAAACATGCTCAGACCCAATGGAACGCCTAAGGCTTCCAACACCAGACGTCGCCAAGGCCCCAGGGAGGACGTCCCCTGCGGAGGGTCCCTGACCCAGGACAGATGCCACAGGGGACGGAGGAGGGAGGCCTCCAGGAGCATCAGTCCCGTCCCTGCAAAGCCGGGCACACAGCAGACCACCCAGACACGACGACAGGCTGCCGCCCTGGCCACCCTGCGGAGCTACGCTGTCTGGTGCTGACAAACACGCTCTTCTTGGTCAGCAATCTCCCCTACAAGCGGCACCGGTGACCAGCCCGGCCCCCCACGCTCACACCTGGAGCTTCGAGGCCACGCCCAGGGCCCTCGTCCCCACTCACCACCTGGCTGGCGAAGAGCAGAGGCAGAGGCGCCTGTCCTGGCATTTCCTAACGCCCCTGAGGGGTGAGCGTGAGTGACAGGGCAGAACGAAGCCCGTGTTCGAATGGACCCTGGGCCCTTGGGGTCCCACGCTCCCGTCCCGGGGAGCCGGTCCTACCTGCTCTTGGGGCCACGTGGGCCTCTCCTCGGGGGTCCTGCCCTTGGTCTTGAGGCCTCTCGGGGGGTCTCCGGGGAGCCTGGCCTGGGGAGGGAGGCTGAGCGACGTGGGCCTGCCCTCGTGTCTGCTGGGGCCGCGGCCGGCCTCGCCGGGCAGGCTGGCCTCCGTGGGGTCCCCCGGCCCCAGCTCGGGCCCCCGCACCGGCGCATGCTCGGGGCTGGCCTCCCCGGCACTGGCGATGCTGGTCATACTCAAGCTCATCTTGATTTCGGCCACGATCTGGTCGATGTCCTCCTCCTGGTCCTCCAGGTCCCCGCCCCGGCGCCGGGGGTGGTAGGGAGACGCGCCGCCCGCGTTCCCGTTGGCCTCCGGGGGGTAGTAGTCCCGGTAGCTCTCCTCTTCGCCGGGGCAGTAGTGAAGGCCCTCCTCCTGGTCTGGGGCCTCCAGCACGGACGCCTCGTCCTCCGGGACGGGGAGGCGGCCGTCGGGGTAGCCGGGGCCGCCCTCGTGCCCGTGGCCCACCGAGTCCGTCCAGTCCTCCACGGGCTTCCTGGGCACTCGTCCGTCTCCAGGGAGGGCCCTCGCCCGCGGCAGTCCGCGCCCTCCAGGGTAGCTGTTCGTCCTCGGGGCAGTAGCGGATGTAGTACGTGACGCCCTCCTCCTCCGGGAGGCCCTCGTCGTAGTCCTCCTCCTCCGACGTGTTGTTCACGTAGTCGGAGCTGGAGTCCCCGTCGGGGCTGTGGTCGGGGCTGTGGTCGGGGCAGCCCCGCTCGGGGGGTGGGGGGCTCTCGGGCCGCACCAGCCCCGGGGCCACGTACCCCTCCAGGGGCAGCTCGGCGTCCGGGCCCTCGGGCTCCTGGCTGGGGGGCACGGGGCCCGGCCGGGCTCTGTGGTCCAGCATGCTGCTCGCTGTGCTCTGGTGCGTGCGGTGGGCCATGGCAGGTGCTCAGGCCGCCATCGTCACTGGAGGCCGCCGCTGCGGGAGGAAGGTCGGAGAGAGCAGTCAGCACCCCACGCGGCCACGGGGACCCTCTGGGCGCTTCCCGCAGCCCTGTTGCCGCACCTCTGTTCAAAGAGCGTGCCCTCCCACCCCAGTGGCACGTCTGTCAGAAGCCAGGCACAGCCGTGCCAGAGAGAGAGAGCACAAGGCACGGGGCCAGAGAGGAGGACAGGCGTGGCTCCAACCATCCTCAGACGCCTGCACCCTGAAAACGCAGGGGACCCAGGCCAAGGTCAAAGGATCTGGTTGTTTGCTCTCAGAGACAGAGAGAAGCCCTGGCTGGTTTGGCTCTGGATAGAGCATCGGCCTACAGACTGAAGGGTCCTGGGTTCGATTCCTGGTCAGGGCACATGCCTGGGCTGCGGGCTCAATCCCCAGTAGGGGGCGTGCAGGAGGCAGCCGATCCACGATTCTCTCTCATCATTAGTGTTTCTCTCTCTCTCTGCCTCTCCTTTCCTCTCTAAAATCAGTAAGAACATATTTAAAAATACACAAAAAAGAAGCAACAGATACTTAAAACACACACACACACACACACACACAAACCCAAGGCTTCAGGCCGGGAAGCCCCCTCCCCTCAGAGCAGGCGGGGCCTCGGGCTGCCTCCCGCCAGCACCATTTCCCCTGAAAATGGGTCAAGTGACGGAGGGACATTGAGTGACGTGCCACCCAAGGCAGGAGGTGCGTCTGCCGCAGCCCAGACCGTCCGGAGGACACGGAGGGCCCCGCAGCGGCTCCGGAGGACCGAGGGCTGTCGGAGAGGTTGCTTGTCACCGGCCCAAGCACGAGCTGTGGGACAAGAACCCTCCTGACTTCAGGCAGCATCGCCGGGTGCATCCGGGAGCACGTGTGTAAACGTCACTTTGGAAACGAAGAGTTACTTCTGTGCTCGGGGACGCGGAACAGACAGGGTGCCCCGGCCTGATCTGAACGGGGATCACGGTTCACTCGGGACCCGCCGGGAGACCGCAGCACTCCCTTTGAGAATCCAGCCGAGACACTCATGTCGTTAATGAGAACGAGATCCAGTTAATTAGACCTGGGTATCATTAATAAAAAGTTACATCCAGGGAGGACGCGCTTCCCTCAACTTAATCACACGGACGACGTTGGGCTCGACCTAGTCGCAGCTCCTAGGGCCGGTTTCTTAACACATTTTTCAACTTTTAGAAACAAGCGTCAGGGAATTTTTTTTCTCTCCCGACGTGCAACTTAAAAGAGAGGGAAAAAGGTTGGGTGTCAGAGCAGGAATCTCTCGAGTCTCTGAAAGCGCACACAGCACGTCTAGAAGCAAATCACAAGGGCCACCCTGTCCTTTCCTGTCTTCCTCCGAGGCAGGAGGCTGCGTCGGGGAGCCACTGAGTGCGATGCACACCCACCGGAATGTGGCCCGTTCCCACCACCACCCCGGCCAGGAGCCCCCACGTCCTCCCCGGAAGGGGCCTCCCTCCAGCAACACCACCCCACGTCACACACGCCGTCATCAGAGCACGACCTCACTCCACGCGGGGCCCCATCTCCTACCGGAAACGAGTGGTCGGCAAGGCCGGGGAGACCCTCCGGGCGATGAGATCTTCCTGGAATAAAACAGAATAAAAAGAGGGAATTACTTTCACTTCGGCAACGATACACGTACAGAAATGTGAGTGAGTGAGAGACGTTGTAAAAGTGCGCGGACGATCGTTCTAAGGAGAGGGTCAGAAATGACCAGAAACAAAGTAAAAAAAACCACGTCACTTCAGCCCTTGGAACACAAATAAAGGGTCGGCTCACGTTCATTCAGGAAGGAGAGACTGCGCGCATTTCAATGAGGCTCCTCACGCCCTCATGAATATGCATTTCCCCACAACAAAGCTGGACCCCAGGATTCACAGAACCCGTATTAGGGGACACTCTCCGACCAGGAGGGTGTGCCCGTGGGGGCTGGGGCTGGGGCTGGGGTGGAGGAGAGGAGAGGGAGAGGCAGGCCCCGCTCGCTCGTCTCCCCTGCCCCGGTTCACAGCCCACCCTGCCTCTGGGATGGGTGGTTTCCTACAGCAAAGAGAAAGAGGCCGTAGGCCTCACGCTGCTCTCAAATGCAAATGCAAACCGCAGGGAAAGGCCCTCAGGTGAAGGGCTTGGAGGCCGGGCCCTGGGTTGGAGCAGGATTCCTTGGGGGGTGGGGAAGCAGATGAGCAGGAAGCCTGGAGTTGTGCAAGAAGATGGGGACTTATTAGTCTTTTTTAAAAAATATGTTTCCTGATTTTTAAAGAAAGAGGAAGGGAGAAAGAAACATCCATGTGAGAGAGAATCATGGACCAGCTGCCTCCTGCACGCCCCCTACTGGGGATTGAGTCCACAATGGGCTCCGCATGGGCCCTGACCGGGGTTCCAACCGTGAGCTCCTGGTTCCTAGGCTGACACTCAACCCCTGAGCAGCGCCAGCCCGAGGGCCGTGGGCCTACAAGATGACCATGTGCCCGGGAGCCCCACTGCTCCCTCTTCCTCCAGAAACTCGGAGCGGTCTGCGGGCTGGGCCGGGCTTCCCTGCCCTGGTGAAGCCTGCCCGCTGCTGCCACCCAGGGTTGCCCACACCTGGAGGGAGGAGCCAGCTTTTCCTCTGCCGGCCCTCAGCCTGCAGGTCTCATTCATAGCAGCCGGAGCACCCGCCATGCTCCAGATCCCCCCCAAAGCTCAGAATCCTCCGTCGGTTTTGGAAGGACGTCAGAGCATTGCTTACATAACACGCTCTCCCACCCGCAGAGCCAGGCCCGCATCGAACTCGATTGAGAATTGGGTTTTAAGTGTTTATTTATAGGCATCAGCAAGCACCCTGGTGGCCCGGGGAGGCACCGGGCTCTGGGCTCCGCCCACCACGACTCATTAGCATTCTTCCCGTGCCCGTCTGCTCTAATCTCCCCGGCAGCAGGCTAACTGCAGGGCAAGGTCACCACCCCGGGCCCAGCACCACTTTCCATTTTCTCCAAAGAAAACGATGCATTTCCTTTGCTCGGCTGCAGTGCCTCCCCCCACCCTCTTGGGACCCCTCGCGTGCGGTGGCTAAAGCAGAGGCGTGTTATTCTGACGACCTGCCCCTCTGCATGGACAGTCCACCCTGAAGACGTGCCGTGGACGCAGAGACCTGGACAGGCCCTTGGGGTCGGCTGTTGCCTCCCCAACTGGCTCTGAGTCCAGCACCCAGCCAGGCACAGCTGGGAGGGTCTGCTCCGTTCCTGCAGACGGAATGGATACAAGGAAGCAAACAGGGCTGGGATGCTTGGCTTTCCTCAGCCACGAGGGCCTGGCCATACCTCCTTCTGCCCAGCACAGGTCCCCGTCCTCTTTCTAACCCTCTGAGGGAAGTGGCTGCCGTGTTGTGAGGACAATCAGAACCACGGACAGCCCCCCAGCACGAACCAGATGTGCGGATACTCAGTCAGCACCATGGAGAGCTCCCCCAACCCACCCCCTGACCGGATGTGGTGGGGACCCCTTGATGGGCACTATGAAGAGGCCCTCGCGGACCAGGTGCGCGGGTGCTCTCAGCACCACGGAGAGCTCCCCCCTCGTGGACCAGGTGCGCGGCTGCTGTCAGCACCATGGAGAGCTCCCCCTTGTGGACCAGGTGTGCAGGTGCTGTCAGCACCACGGAGAGCTCCCCATGTGGACGATGTGGTGGGGACCCCTTGATGGGCACTATGAAGAAACCCTCGCGGACCAGGTGTGCGGGTGCTGATGGGTACTACGAAGAGGCTCTCATGGACCAGATGTGTGGGTGCTCTCAGCACCCTGGAGAGCTCCCCTCGCGGACCAGGTGTGTGGGTGCTGTCAGCACCACGGAGAGCTCCCCTGGGCCACACCTGAGGCCTCCTGCCCACAGCCCTGTGAGGTCCATTTCCAAGTGGCTCCCCAGCCCCAGTCAAGCCTTCAGATGACGGTCTCCCTGGCGCACATCTCGACTCTGAGCCAGAATCAACCCGCCGAGCTGCTCCCAGACTCCTCCCTCACCGATTCGATGCCCAAGATCACAAATGCTGGCTGTTTTGCACCACTAAGTTTTGGGCGTAATTGTTTGCATAGAAATAGAGAACCCGTATGATAATAGTCTCTATCTTAAGCAGGTTGTGGCTACATATTCTTCTTTTTTCCGCAGTCCCAAGTGGCGGATCCTAAAAGGCGGGGACACACGCTAGGCATGCACGTCACCCTTGTGGGTGACCAGGGGCATAAAGGACTTAGGGAAGCCCCGTCTAAGGGGTGGGGAGTCGTAGGGAGTGGTCGCTGGGCAAGGAGGGGCAGAGGATTAGCTCTATTAACATCATAAGAGGGGAGACCCTCTAGGCTAAGACAGTGAGCGCCTGGGTCTGAGGGAAAGGCCAGCAGTCCCCGGGCGGGCCGTGCAGGTGCAGGTGGGGGGGGGGGGTGTCTGCCTGTCTCTCTCCTTCAGGTTCCAGAAAAAGCAGAAGTGCATTCATTCCTTAGAAGTGGCTGAGCTGGTCCGAGTCAACTGACCCAGTAACAGCAGCCAGAACCAGGGAAGTCTGGCAGACCCGGCTGGCATCAAAGAACCAACACCGAACCTTTCAAGACCACTGTGTCCAATCCTCTCTAAGGGCCTGAATCCAAACATCACCACATGGGCGACTGCCCTCAATGCACTCGTTCAGAGAAGGGCAGCGTCCCAAATCCACTTTAACGGCAACAAGCCCTGTTCTCGCCGAGAGGCGACAGCCGAAGCAGCAATGATGCCTAACAGAGCCTGAGCCTGCTTTCCTTTAAAAACAAAACCAAACACTCGGTTGAAGTGGCAGAGGAGTGTAAGCACCCTTTAGCGTTCTCCTTTTGACCTTGATCTTTTGGGGAAATGGCCGCTGAGAGTCTGGACCGACGCTGTTTGCTCTCATCGGTCACTGCGCTCCGCCGGCCCTTGTGGACGGGAGCAGGAAGATGGCGACAGATGCGGGTGGGGAAGGGAAGCGTGCTCACTGTCAGAGGCGCCTGGGACGGCAAGAGACAGTGCGGGTGACTCCGAAGTCCCTGTGCCCAGCAATGCTCGGCCGCCACCTTGCAGAGCAGGACGCAGACTGGACAGGCTGTGCTCGGCCACTCAAGCCAGGAGGCCCGGGGGCCTCCCTCTGCCTCCTCCTGTTTTCCCAGCCAGTCAAGGCCCAGCTCAGATACCATCCCAAAGTCATGATGCCCCTCAACCCCCTGCCATCGCCACCTCAGGTCCCAGGACCTCCCCCCCGCCCCCCGGGCCCGAGGCAGCCAGAGGCAGTGAGATGGGGCTTCTGAGTCCAAGACCCAACTCCAGACCCCGCCTCTGCTTACGAGCTGGGACCAGTGTCCCTGCACGGAGCCTCAGGCACCGCATCGGAACCAGAGATTGCAATGGAGGAGACTGCAATCACATCATTTGCAGGAAACATGCGGCCACAGAAAACCCGAGGGACTCTACGCGTGGTTGCTGGAGGGCAGACCTACACCCCAACTCAACCACCACCACGAAGGTCATTTCCAAAGAGACGCACCTAGACAGGAGCCAAAAATAAAAACCAGGAATCTGTCTAATGTAAATAAATATATATATATATATACACACATATATACACACATATATACACACACACACACACACACACATTAGAGGCACACAAAATTCGTGCACTGGGTGGGGGGTGTCCCTCAGCCTGGCCTGCGCCCTCTCACAGTCTGGGAGCCCTCAGTGGATGTCCGACTGATGGCTTAAGGGCCTAAGCCGGCAGTCGGACATCCTTAGCGCTGCTGTGGATGTCCACAGATGATCCCAGCTTCTGGCTGAGCCCAGATGGATGAGCCCAGCTTCTGGCTGAATGGTGCCCCCCTGTGGGAGCGCACTGACCACCAGGGGGCAGCTCCTGCATTTAGCATCTGCCCCCTGGTGGTCAGTGCACGTTGTAGCCATCAGTCATTCTGCCATTCGGTCGATTTGCATATTAGCCTTTTATTATATAGGATATGCACATACATACACATCAGACCGGCACAGAAAAACACCTGCTCCTCTGTTGAAAGACATAAGAAGACCTAGGAGAATAAGGTCTCCTCAGGCTGTGAGCGTGGTTTTATTTGGGGGGTGGTTTTCTGAGTACATTTTCACTTCCGAGTCGCTTCCTGAAGGTAGGATGGCTGAGTCAAGGTCAAAGCAGGTCCACTGGGGTCCGTGCTGTCCGACCCTGCAGGGGCTGGAGCACTCTGTACTGCTCCACGACCTCGCCAACAGGGATGGAAACTGTGTCGAACTTGGGTTTCTGTATCTTGGCATAATTTTAACTCACAATCCTCTTACATAAGGTGTTGAACATCTTTTCATTCACTTAAAAAACCATTTGTATTTATTTCTCTGTAACTAAATGTCCAGATCTTTTAGCCATTTCCTTCTGGGTGTTGGTCTTTTCCTTTTAATTTTTAAAAAGTATTTTTCATTGATTTCAGAGAGGAAGGGAGAGAGGGAGGAGAGATAGAAACGTCAAGATGAAAGAAAATCATGAATCGGCTGCCTCCTGCACGCCCCCTACTGGGAATCAAGCCTGCAACCTGGGCATGTGCCCTGACCAGG